TTGTATTAAAAACTATAGGTTTAAAATTAAAATTTAAAAAATTTATTATAGATAAATAAAAAAATTTTTTACTAAAATTTTTTTTTAAAATTATATATTTTTGGTCTATAAACAACCTAATTTTTTTTTCTTATAATTTAAAAATAAATACAGCAAAAAAGTAATTTTTATTTTTAAATATTATTATATCAAATTTTATTTATATATTTTAACAATTTAAAAAAATAAATTAAAGTTAAAAAAATATAAAAATATAGACAAATTTGCTTATGTTAGTTTATAATCTAAAGGATAGTTATAGAAGTCATCTGTTTAACCACTATGTTATACTATTTCTATTTTTATAAAGTTTAGTAAGATCCTAGTATTCATCTTTTTAATATCTTTTTTATTATTCTTTACTAATCACTACTTAAAATTAATAGACTTAGTTAAGACTACCAATTTAGATAATCCTGTACAATATATTTTTATATCTTTTTTCTCTAATAAATTTGGTAGTCTGGTTGGTTATATACTCCTTTATATATATTTTGTATCAGTTATCTAATCTGTTCTTTTAAGAGTATTTTGTAAGTTTTAATCAATTTGATGGTATTATTAAAAGTTTATGTTATTTTTTTATTTAGAAATTTCTAAGTAGGTTTCCAATTTCTTAGTTTTTTAGTCTTCTATGTCCAATGAAATTATTTTAAATTTATATTAGTCTTATATAATACTAGTTAATAATATTTATATATATATATAATATTATACTTTATATAAATGTTTTAAGTTCCTAATAACAGATAGAACCTAACTTGATATATTTGTATTACAGTCATATAAAGCCAATTAATTAATAGAAGATAATTATCAAAACTCAAATTAATTTCCAAATTTTATTATAGGTGAAATTTGAACATTAGATCTATTACTTGAAGGATAATAATCTAATCACTATATTAAGATTATTATTCTTATTTTTTAAATTTATTAATTATTATTAACTTAATATTTTTTAATTATTTCTTATTAAAAATAGTGATCCTAATATAGTAATTAAATTGTTATTCTTCAAGTAACCTATAATAAAATTTGAAAATTAATCAGTATTATATTAACTGTCTTTTGTTGATTGGTTAATCTCATGTAGCTGTAATTCAGATATATCAAGTCAGGTATTATCTGTTATTAAAAGCTTAGAACATTTATATGAAATATAATATTATATATATATAAAAAATATTACTAATTAATATTATATAAAACTTCAGTATAAACTTATAATAAAACCACTAAGTATAGAAAACTAAAAAACTAAAAAACTAAAAACTTACTTAAAAATTCTCAAGTAAAAAGATAACATAGACTTTCAACAGTATCATCAAACTGGTTAAAACTTATGAAACACTTTTATAGAAATAGATAAATAAACCAGATTATAAGATGTATAAAAGAATACATAATCAACCAGACTACTGTAATTTTAGAAAAAAAAAATACTAAGATATAATATACTAGATTATCTGAATTAGAAGTCTGAAAAATTCTGTTAATTCTGAGTTATAATTAGTAAGAGATGATAGAGAAGATGTCAAAAAGATAGGTACTAAGGTTTTAATAAATTTTATAAGAATAAAAATAATATAATATAGTAGTTAAATAAGTAATTCCTATGACTACAAATGTTAGATAACTATAACATATTATATAAAATTAAATTAGCTATGTGTAAGATATAACAGATTTTAGTAAATCTTTTGTTAAAGATAAAATAATTCTAAAGATAATGATAAATATTAGAAACTTGAATAAGTGATGTTCTGAGATGTTCTCATAATACAAAAAGATTATATATACAAAGAGCAAGACCTATAGTTAACTTGCAGATATGACATCTAGTATAGAACCTATATAGTAATGTATAGATAAACTACTTAAATTAGATACCAAAAATGTATATTTGATTAGTTGTAACCTTCAATATAAGGGAGTCTCTAAAGGCAGTGTTGTTATGTGAACAATCTTGAACATAGTACTTGGACAATCTTGGACATTTGGACAAAAAATAAACTTAATTTACTCAAAATTTTATTATGATAACTTGTTTTAGTCTTCTAATTAAAGTTGTAGAACATTAGACAGAATATATAATTATCAATATTTTATAAAAATATTTTAAATAATTAAGGTTAAAATTAATATTTCAGATCTTGGATATTTTTAAAAAATGGTTGGACAGCCAAAATGTACAACACTGTCTAAAGGTACCCATGTCCTACAAACTTAAATAAAAAAATCAATTCCTGAAGATAGAACTTTAATTTAAAAAAAAATAATAAAATATTTCTTATTAAATTCAAAGAAAGAATAACTAGCATGAACTTGAAGTTTGTGAAAAATTTCTTCTCAAGTAGGCTTCAACTTTCCTTAGTTCTACAGATTTACAAAACCACAAGAACTTATTTTGAATTGTACTGCCTAGAACCAGTTTGCATTCTTCAATATAATCAAGATTACACAGATGCTCCTTGATCTGTCAGTCATGCTGGTGTGACCGTAGTTACAGATAACTGATCAACAAATTCTACATATGAAATTTATTTGTAAGACAGGACACAGGCACAAAGTGCCACACATTACAGGTTTATACTGTTCGTATAAAAAATTTTAACCATGCATATATTATTTTTTTTTTCCTGTTAATAAATAACAATGAAAGATCAAAATAACATACGTAAAGATAAGCAAAATTACTTCAAAAAGTGGCATATATTTAGAAGATGGAAACACGGATGTAAAGTCTGTGACGAATGCAACCATCATTCACATCTATATTGTAAGACATGTAAAAAAGTAGCGGATGGAATATATAGGCGGTGTGAATGTGAAATTTTCTAAGAGAATCGATTACGCCCTCGGATAATTACTGCTACCAAAATTTTTTAGATAACGATAAGATTTGTGAGACGGGCACAGGCACAACGTAAGCTGGCACATTCTTGCCAAAGTGCCATTTTTCTGAAATAAGTACTGAAATTACTCTAATACAATTTTGGTCAATTAGCTCATGGCACATAAATTTTGTGATGTGACTTATACTAAGCAATTTTGACACTGAAATATTGGTCAGGTGATTTCAATCATTGTTTGATAAATATAACCATATTTTAACCGAGATGTAGCACGTGATTATAAACATACATACGTTAGATCTCCATCACGCGTTCCGTGCAAGATTTATATTTTCTTTTTCAACTTTTTCTACCATTTTTTTTTCTTTGTAATCATGAATACACAACCAATACTCAAGGCTTTTTACAATGACACCGCGATCGAGGACTGGGTGTGCGTTAATATGATAGAATATTATCATGCGAAATTGGGGCAAAAAATCCGATAAAGATAATGGATCATATAAAAAAGGACCTTCAGAAAGTAGCAGATTATGATTCTGAATTTGAGATGACGCGTAAAAGAAAAGCTCGGGAAATCCTTGACAATTGGAAGGTATGATTATTAGTAAAATAGATATTTGAATGAACTAATTGCTTAGTCCAACAGTAATGAACTCTTGGTTCGACGCTTAGCGCAAGCTGGGACTCTTAGTCTTCAGTGATGAATTCTTGGTTCGACGCTTAGTGCAAACTGGGACTCTTGGTCTAAAGGATAGCTCTTAGTCTGACACTTCTTTTACTATTAAGAAATTTTTTTCTTGCAAATATTGTTGTTAATTCTATTTTTTAAGAAATGGTCTACACAGAAGAAAAACCTGAAGCATTCCAATGGCGTGAATATTGGGAGTTTACAAGTAAAAAAGATCAAGCAGTTCGCTGGAAATCACGCGAACCAAATTATGGGTAATAATATAATTTTAGGAACAAAAAAGGTACAAATGCGTTGCTTTTATTAGCTAGATATTGAGAATCGTAAATCAATTATATTTTGTACTTTAATGCTTTAGGATGATCACGAAAAGTTACAGAAAACTCCCGAGCATAAAATATATTCAGATTTCTTCGTTCCCCCAACCACAAGAAGTGAAAGTGACGATAAAGAAACTGACAGTGATAACTTTAGCCCGGATAAGCGAGACCCTAAGAATTTTACGTTCGATGAATTTAGAATTTGTAGATGGGAACGATGAATATGCGGATGATGATCAAGAGAGTCTTTTTCTAGATCATGATCAAGAGTTTTTTTTTTGGATGATTCGGTTGCGTTTGATGAAAATGATGATGGCAATCCCGTGAGTTTCTTTCCTTTTCTCTTCTATCAGTTAATATGCTTTTATGTTTGCTAATAAATGTCTTTGAAATATATAGTATATGTTTCAAGATAAGAATATATCTGCGCTATTTACATCATATCGTTTAAATGCACAGCAAATGGCGCGGGAATCGGGTTTATCTATCGAGACAGATTACCATGAAATATTGTAAGTTTGAATTTTGAGAATATATTCTTTTGTATGAATTATCAGGCTAACAATATTTATTTGGAAATATTAGGAGCTTATCACATATTTTATTATTACAAGCTGATAACTTCTCGGATCTGCAGATTGAACAATTTTCCGGTGATACTCTAGTAGATTTTCATAAACATATGCGCAATACATATATAATTAAAAACAAAGTCGCACAAAGCGTAAAGGCGATATTTCGAGAATGCATCGAGGTAACGTATTAGTGTACTATTTTTGCGAAAAGTTACTTATCATAATTTTTTTCATATGATGGTTTTTAATGTATTAGATTGCACTTGATGAAGATCTCGGGCCGAAAGAAGCAGAAAAAACTTTAGAACGATCATTCACAAAGTCTTTTGATGATCCCATTGATCAGAAAAAGTTCGAAAGGATGCGGTTTGTCTTTTTACAGCTGTAAGTTCAAACTTATGGTGTTTTTTTATCTTCTATACTAATGATTTATCCCCAGTTTCAGCACAGACTATAGTTGCATATTTCGAAAAGCAATTCGATCCACTCAAGATACAATTTTATACTGGTATCACTTTACCACAAAATATGACAAAAGAATAGATAAGATTTCTGTCAGCAATAAAGTCGGTAAGAAAAAAGCAACTAGCTTAGTATATCGTGAAATTAAACAGCTTCTTCCTGATATCACAGATGCGAACCTGTGTCATATAATTCTCAAGGCTAGAAAAATAAGAACACTTTTTAGTGCAGTAGAAGTAGATAAGATTAAACAAGTCTCTTATAGTGCAAATGCGATTTCTGGTCTTTTTTATACCCAAATCCAAAATATTATAGAGTATGTAGCTAATTCTAAATCGAATTCTAATACTTCTGGCTCAACGAAATTACTAGATACAAAGGTAAGTGAATCAGCTACATTTCCTATTTATCCAACTTATATCTTTAATCATTTGGGTTCAGATGATGTGACAAGTACACCTACCAAATCCCAAGTCTCTGACTTGAAAGTCAAGAAGGTCTCAGGTAAGTATATCATCTAGACCTCAACGCAAAAAGACCTCACCTGAAAAACAAAATAATCAAACTTATATTCGCGCTTATTTTCTTAACAAATTATTGGAGCAGTATCCCAATTTGTAGGAAGAATATAGTAATGAAAATGCTAATTATTATGGGATTAATGTTGAATCATTATGCCCAATATGCAAGTTAAATCACGAGGATGAAGACGGTATAAAAGGGGAATATAAAGATGGATCATACTATATTAAATGTGAAGCATCTAAATCGGTATTGTTACGCCGAGATAATTGTATAAATTTTATCACCGCCTTTTCGATTATGACCTCTAAGCCTAATGTATATAATTAGATGTGGTCACATTCTGTTGGCAATATATCTTTTTTTCTGAACTTGGAACCTTGTGCCAGCTCCGCTGAAATGTAGAAATTTAAATTAATCCAATCTTATAAAATGATAACATGAATGCGATAAACTTGCAAACTGAGTCTGATAAAATCTTTACGAAACAGGACACTTTGTGTCTAACCCCTAAATATTTGGATTGGCAGGGTAAATTAATTGGTATTTTAACAGATAAAAATCGTTCCAAGTTATATAAAAGATATAACGAAGAAACTAGACTCGATCCCTGGATAAACTCTGAAACTTCTGAATCCTCACAAAGTGAAAGTGCTAATAATCATCTTTCACGAGACTGTATCAAGATTTCTAAATTTTCGGAAGAAAAAGATATGATTATTGAAATCGTACATTAACGTTTTCCTTTCCTATCATGTACTAATTCAAATGCATGGTACCGAGATTTTTTTAAATATACTGATTCAGAAGCTAAATGTCCAATATGTGAAGAAGTACATACTCGTTTAGGAATATGGGACGACTGGAGTTGGCTAGGTAAAAATGACCACTATTATCTTAATTGCCCTTTTCGTATCGATCAAAAGAAAGCTATAACTGTCATACAGTGTTTGGTAGAAGGTGTGCCAAACAAATCTCGGGAGGTAGAACCTCATTACTCTCACGACTCATCAATTCATCCAAACAAACCCCGCCTTTATCAATATGCAGTTGAACATGGAATGGATCCTGAGAAATTTTCGATCGTTACTGAGGCTGAGAAAAATAGATGGGCCATGGGGGTGTTTTCTTGCTGACTTGGAAAGAGATATACGCCTTTTTCGTGTAAGAATAAAAAGGAATGAAGATACCAGAAAATATCATAATTTTTTTAACAGATCGGGATAGGCTGGTCGGTGAAGAGTTATTATGTCGCGGTTAGTGTTGTTAGGCGAAACTTAGAGGTTTCGCAAAAGGCAAAAGTCGAAACTAGTTTCGACTTTCGCCAAAAAAAAATTGAAAATGGCGAAATGGCGAAACTGTCGAAACTGGCGAAACTGTCAAAACTGGCGAAACTACTAAAAGATGAAAAATAATAAAATTAGTAAAAGATAAGAAAATTAATAAAATAAGTACTAATAGAA